AGAAACAAGCAGTCTCTTGATGACATCATGTAGAAACAAGCAGTCTCTTAATGACATCATGTATTTTACGACCCCCAGCTCGTCTAGGAGATGATGGTTTGAGGGCGTAAAGAAAAATGTGTGTAAACCAGACCAAACCAAGATTTACTCTCTTAGAGGAGTTTATTAACTAAAAACACTGCTTTATGCAGGCAAAGGAAAAATGAATACAAAACCGAAAGGATGTCCACACTGGGGAATTAATGATAATACAAAACACAAGGACCATCCAGGACTGGGCAAAGAACAATAATATTAATAAACACAAAACGCCGGGACTAAACCGGGAAACTAAGGGAATGAGTTAAACACAAAAAACTCCACCAAAAGGGTGAGCTGAACTCTTTAACGAGAATTCTAAAGAAGACGAAAGCGAGCTCTGAACTAGGAAGAATAACCAAACCACACAGGTTGCACAACGAGACTAAATAAGTCAGCTCTAGGAGGGAAAAGAGGAACACCAGCTTTAACACTCAGGCCTCTGCTAAGCTTCCCTCCCCGAATGACAGAGGGAGCTGGCTTTTAAAGGAAGCTCCCTGATCAGATAATGTGCGACACCTGGCTCAGCTGGAGCCAGGAGATCAGGAGGAGCACCGAGGCCATCTTGTGGCCACAAAACAGACAGCGTCTGTAACACCCTCCCCCTCAAAACAACAACTAAAAGTTATTTTTGTTGTTGCCACCAAAAACAAGAGTGCTCCCACTAACTAACTAGAAACAAAACAGCTAACTAACTAACTAAAATCCCTGGATCTCTGAAGGCGGGCTGATTAAACACAAAAATATCACGCTGCGCTGATCCTCAGCGCTGCGGAGTGTCCCCGAGATGGTAGCTTGCGCTACCAACACTAGCCTTAAAGGGAGATCCTTACAGCTAAACCAAAACAAAACTACTTGGGAGCCTCAATCTGCGTGGCATCGGGATAGCGCGTCAGCCATCAAGTTGTCCGTCCCCTTCTTGTGGCGGACCTCGATGTTGAACTCCTGGAGGAGGAGAGCCCATCTCATTAGGCGTTGATTTGAGTTGAACATGCGGTGGAGGAAGGTCAGCGGGTTGTGATCTGAGAAAACAACAGTGGTGAAATGGCTGCAGACATACACATGAAAATGTTGCAGGGACCAAATTAAAGCCAGAGTTTCCTTTTCTATTGTAGAGTAGTTGCGTTGTGACTGGTTGAACTTCCTGGAGAAATAGCAGACGGGGTGATCAAGTCCGTTAGCATCCTCTTGGAGGAGAACAGCTCCTGCTCCGACGTCAGAGGCGTCAACCTCGATTTTAAAGGGCCGGGACAGATCAGGAACAGCCAGGATCGGTGCACAACACAAGATTTCTAAGAAAGAGTAAAACCTGGGGACAGCCTGGGGTTTAAGAAAAAGGAATGTCAGTGACAGGAGTAGAGCTATCAGCAGCGAGTGCAAAACAAGGAGTTTGTCCATTCTCTGAGCTGTGACCAAAGCATCATAGCTTATTGGGAAGTTAACAGCAACCTGGGGCTTCATAACAGCAGTGGTATCTGCACCGGAGTTGTCGTCTGCCAGGAAAGGATGCAACACAGAGTCACGGAGAGTTATCTCCGGATCCTTTTTAGCTTGAGCTCTAGTTAGCACACAAGCAGGCAGAGGGGCTTCATCATGAACTTCGGGTTCTAAAATGAGTTCAGGCGGAGGTACGACCAAACCTCCGGCTGCATCATTTCCTAATATTAAATCAACTCCCTTTGTAGGGAGTTCGTCCAACACACCAACCAGAAAATCACCCGAGACTAAGGGACAGGTCAATTTAATGTGGTGCATTTCGGCCGAGACACCTCCCATCTCGATGCCTTGCAGCATCACCGAATAGCCGGCTTGGCTATCTTCAGAAAAGGGCAGCAAACTTCTTTCTATTAAAGTCAGGGAAGCTCCGGTGTCTCTCAAGATAACAACTTTTTTTTCAGCTTCAGAACCCGGAAGAGACACAAAACCCTCCGAAAGGAATGGCTTAAAGCAGGGACTGGGCTTTTCAGCGTGAGTTTTGTTACAGCAAGCTATTTCAGGTCGGTCCTTATTTGGAGAACTTCCGGTTCTACGGTTCTTTAGTTTCAGAGAATAACAATCACGGATGACGTGGCCACGTTTATGGCAGTAGAAACATTCGGGTTTTTCAGAATTCGAGGACGGAGTTAATCTTACACTGGGTCTGAATACACGGTTCGCGTCAGTACGAGTCTCTCTGACCCGGTGAGTGAGGGAGAACTCATCGGCGAGGAGAGCAGCTTCAGAGAAAGAATTCACTTTCTGTTCGTTCAAATAAAGAACCAGTTTTTCAGGCAGATGTCGTTTGAACTCTTCTATTAAAATGAGCTCCTTTAGATCAGACAAAGTGGAAATATGCGAAGCAGAACACCATTTCTCAAACAACACAGACTTCGTGTGAGCATACTCAACATAGGACTGATTTAACTTAGGTTTCTCGAATCTGAAGCGCTGTCTGTAGGCTTCAGGAACTAGTTCATACGCTGTGAGTACGGCTGACTTTACCTTGTCGTAATCTGCACCGTCTGTTGGAGACAGAGCGGATACCACCTGAAGGGCCTTACCTGTTAACCTGCAAGTCAAGAGGAGAGGCCAGACCTCGCGAGGCCACTGCAGCGTCGCAGCGATCCGCTCAAAGGCAAGGAAGTAGCCGTCCACTTCTGTCTCCCGGAACTGGGGCAGCAGCGTAATGCATTTGCTGACATCAAACGGTGTCGTTTGCAACGGCGAACTGGCGGGTGTCACTGGATCTGGGCGAAACCCCGCACGGGAGGTAGACGAGTCATCAGGTTCTTGAGAAGAAGTCCAAGCAGCGTCAGGAACGGACTTTTTGTTGCGTAGCTCGATCTCGAGCATCTTAAGCTGAGTTTCAGCGTCCAGTCTTTTTAAATCCATTTCATGGCGTAACCGCCGTTCGAGAGCGCGTTCATCAGCCTCCATGCGCAGGCGAGCGAGCCGGAGCTTCAGGCGAGCTCCACTGAGTGGAGAAGTCGAAGGACTCAGATCTGGTGACGATGAGCCGGAAGAGGATTCTTTTGGCTTGACCTCTTTTTCTGGAGCCACCGGAGGCGATGAAGGGCGTGAGCCGGTCTCAGGAGGAGGCGGAAGGATCTCGTGAGCCTCCAAATAGTCCACAACGAACTTCCGTAGAGCGTCTTTCGGGAGCGATTTCGGGACAACCAGATCGAAGTGGGCAGCTACTTCCTGCAGGTCGGCTTTTCTGCAACGCTCCAGCAGCCGGCGCGAGGGAGCCTCCACAAAAGCCCGCAAGTCAAAGGTTGCCATGGTGACGTCCGCTCCACCTCCAAGAGAGGAAACAAGGTTAGTCCAGAAACACAAAAAGATGGTAAACCGGGAATAAATGTACAATATGACAAAATATCCCGGACGAGCCCCCACTCTTTTACGACCCCCAGCTCGTCTAGGAGATGATGGTTTGAGGGCGTAAAGAAAAATGTGTGTAAACCAGACCAAACCAAGATTTACTCTCTTAGAGGAGTTTATTAACTAAAAACACTGCTTTATGCAGGCAAAGGAAAAATGAATACAAAACCGAAAGGATGTCCACACTGGGGAATTAATGATAATACAAAACACAAGGACCATCCAGGACTGGGCAAAGAACAATAATATTAATAAACACAAAACGCCGGGACTAAACCGGGAAACTAAGGGAATGAGTTAAACACAAAAAACTCCACCAAAAGGGTGAGCTGAACTCTTTAACGAGAATTCTAAAGAAGACGAAAGCGAGCTCTGAACTAGGAAGAATAACCAAACCACACAGGTTGCACAACGAGACTAAATAAGTCAGCTCTAGGAGGGAAAAGAGGAACACCAGCTTTAACACTCAGGCCTCTGCTAAGCTTCCCTCCCCGAATGACAGAGGGAGCTGGCTTTTAAAGGAAGCTCCCTGATCAGATAATGTGCGACACCTGGCTCAGCTGGAGCCAGGAGATCAGGAGGAGCACCGAGGCCATCTTGTGGCCACAAAACAGACAGCGTCTGTAACAATGTAGAAACAACAAGTCTCTTTCTGATATCATGTAGAAACGAGCAGTCTCTTTCTGACATCATGTAGGAACAAGCAGTCTCTTAATGACATCATGTAGAAACAAGCAGTCTCTTAATGACATCATGTAGAAACAAGCAGTCTCTTAACTACATCATGTAGAAAGAAGCAGTCTCTTAATGACATCATGTAGAAACAAGCAGTCTCTTAACTACATCATGTAGAAAGAAGCAGTCTCTTAATGACATCATGTAGAAACAAGCAGTCTCTTAATGACATCATGTAGAAACAAGCAGTCTCTTAATGACATCATGTAGAAACAAGCAGTCTCTTAATAACATCATGTAGAAACTAGCAGTCTCTTAATGACATCATGTAGAAACAAGCAGTCTCTTAATGACATCATGTAGGAACAAGCAGTCTCTTAATGACATCATGTAGGAACAAGCAGTCTCTTAATGACATCATGTAGAAACAAGCAGTCTCTTAATGACATCATGTAGAAACAAGCAGTCTCTTAATGACATCATGTAGAAACAAGCAGTCTCTTAATGACATCATGTAGAAACAAGCAGTCTCTTAATGACATCATGTAGAAACAAGCAGTCTCTTAATGACATCATGTAGAAACAAGCAGTCTCTTAATAACATCATGTAGAAACTAGCAGTCTCTTAATGACATCATGTAGAAACAAGCAGTCTCTTAATAACATCATGTAGAAACTAGCAGTCTCTTAATAACATCATGTAGAAACTAGCAGTCTCTTTCTTATGTCATGTAGGAAGATGGATTCTGTTTCCTACTGACATCATGTAGGAAAAATTATACACACACATATGTGTGTGTGTGTGTGTGTGTGTGTGTGTGTGTGTGTGTGTGTGTGTGTGTGCGTGCGTGTGCGTGCGTGTGTGTGCGTGTGCGTGCGTGTGCGTGTGTGTGTGTGTGTGTGTGTGTGTGTGTGTGTCTGTGTGTGTGTGTGTGTGTGTGTGTGTGTGTGTGTGTGTGTGTGTGTGTGTGTGTGTGTGTGTGTGCGTATAAATAATATATTTAGTAAAAAGAAAGTTATGCGTCAAAAATACTCAATTAGTTCAGTTTATAATTATCAGGAGTTTATTAGAGATTCTGATTCTATTTGGGGTAAATTTTCTGCTACAAAACTTTGTTTTAGTAAACTATGAATATTTCTGTTTACAGTAAAAGTTTCTAAATGTTTTTTCTATTGAATGTGAAGGCTCTGCGGGGTGTTGTATTGTTAAACGTAGCACACGCGAAACAGAGAGAAGTGGTGGGTGGATGTGAAACACACACCAAAGTGGAAAAACCCTGTTGGCCATCACTCATGCCTTCATTATTTCTAGTAAATCAGCTGTTTGTCTTTCCCCATTTGTCCTTCTTTCTGTGCTCCTCGGTGTAAACAACCGCTGATCTACAAGCCTGTTGTGATGATAAACAGCTGATCTCCGTCGGCATGGATCTACTCTGGGTCCTGCTTTGGTCTGTTGTCTCTGATGTGGCCTTTTCTTCTTCTCTGGGCCCCTGCGGTGTTCAACAGAGCCACAGCTCACAGAGCGGTGAGTTCAACGCCGACTAAATCAATTTTCTGAACTAAAAATCGCCTAGAAGAAAAGGCCAACTTTAAAATATTGAGTTAAATTCATCCGTTCATCTTGTGTATGATGTTGTTTGTAGGAATTTTAATGCACAACTTATATTCGTGTTACAATGATGGATTATTTTATAGATTTTCCCTCTTTAGAAAAATTAAGCATTTTTTTAACTGTTCTTAAATCCTAAAAATGAAGCACAATGTTTAAGAAAAATAATTTTAAGATAAAACTATTTAAGTTCCACAGCTGTTCACAGGAAGTCTTTGGGTTTAATAGAATTAATTTCTTATCTGCTGTAGATGGCACTCAGCCTCAGTTTGGAGAAACAAAGATTTGTTCTGGCTAATGGCTACTTAATAACAACAAAGGTAACACTTTACAATGAGGGTCCTTTTGTTAATGTTACTTGCATAATTAAGCATTAATAAATTATCTATTAAAATATTAACAACTGCTTAAGCATATTATGTAATGGATTACTAATCCAATAACCCCTCGACCCTTCATCCTAACTATAATGACACTAAATGGTCAACAATACAGACAGATGTTAATAAAGATTTTCTTTGTTTATTAATGCTTAATAATGCACTAAGTAATGTTAATAAGGGGACCTTTATTGTAAAGTGTTACCATAAAAGTAAGTGTTACGGAATTGAAGACATGTAACTATCTAGAGTTGTATTTTAATACACTGTAAGTAGATCACTTGTAATAATCAGAAGAATAGGTGGTGTTTATCATCAGGGAGTTTAATTAAACACTCTGTATTGACTTTGAGACAAGAAAAGAGAGAGAGTTGGGATCGTTTGAGAATCTTTAATTTCTTAATTATAAATTCTTAAAAATCTACCAGGACTAACTCTGTGATGGATGAAAATGGATTTGGATGTTGTGTTGGTGCGTGTGTGTGTGTGTGTGTGTGTGTGTGTGTGGTTGGTTCAGACTCCTTAGGCTGACGTCATTGAATCTGGTCGTCTTTGTTATGACTAGATATCACGAGGCTTATAAAGTGATGACATGAGCTGCTATTTTGCCGTGTACGTACCCAGTGGGGGGGCCTCCCAGGTAGATCAGGAAATGCCAGGTCCAAGAACCTCGGATGTGTACTGGAGCTGTCGGAGCAGCGGTCGCAGCACGTCAAAGCCCGTCTGAAGGGTCGACCCCGGTACCAATCGGCAGCGTCAGCAGGTGCTCTTGTTTTGAAAGGATGTCGTCTGGTTGTTAAACGACGAAAATCTCCAACTTCACAGTTCTTAGTTTAAAGAAGAAAACACATCTGGCCAGGCTGTGCTTTTCTTTAGGATGACGGTGAATAGAACTGAAGTCAAAATGGAACTGAGCTTAAAATGGCGTTGCCTTGTTTTATATCTCTGAATTGTTGATAAGTTTTAGTAAAGTGGATTGGACACTTAAAGTCAACAAGCCAGATTCTCTTGCGGCAGCCGAAAGCTCTGATTGGTTGGAACAATGTGTCATGCGTTTCTATGGAGATGAGGATCAGTCTGTCTGTGCAATAGTCCTGTTTTCATTAAACACATAAATCATGACATATTTTTTTCACAGATCATTCACTTGATTATTATTGATCAACATATGTTTTGCTTAATTTTTTTAATCACAAATAAAGTACTTTGATTAAGTAAAAGCGTTCTTCTTCTCCTTCGGACTCTTCTCCTGGAATGTAAACAGTCTGAGGAACACCCGACCTTGGCGTTTTCAACACGGGTGTTACTGTGCACTGGGGGCAGCTGTGTGGAGCTGAAAATAATGAACTTCATAACCTTACATAAGTAACATAAATATATTCCATTTTTCAGTAGCAGAGTATTATATGCATATACATATATTAGTCACTACAGTTTTAGTAATATAGTTAAAGAGCAAGTCACCCCCTACAATTTATTTACTCCACTCCCACTTCATGTCTGAAAAATGCAAAAAAATGCTGTTGCTTGGCAGACCAAGAGGACAGAGCCGCTAACAAATACACACAAACAGGCTCACAACAGCATTGTGACATCATAATGTACCAGCTAATGTCATAGTGTACCTCTTAGCCAATAGCGATGGCAGGTTTAAATTGCAGAGATTTTACCCGATGACGGCACAACACTGACAGTTTTAGGCAGAATATTTAAATTTTAACTAAGATGCACTAAATTGCCAAACTATTGACTACACGTGACTACAGCACGATTAGACACTCATTTATATGGTTTATCAGCAAAAAAAAAAAAAGGTTGATTTGGGGTTGACTTGCTCTTTAAATAGCAAATAGCAGGTAATTTTTTTTTAATGCTGTCCAAAAGTTACTATTTGAAATGCTTGTTGTGGGTATTTTGTTAAGTAGTACATAACGGCCCCTTATTTCCAGTAGAAAGTGGCCTTTTTCAGCAAAGCTTCTAAAAATGCATTTTTTTTATCTTAACCTCTGACGTAACGACGGGGAGTTATAAGGTAGTCCTGCCTGAAGCTCAGTGTAGCGAGTAGGTAGTTTTTGGGTAGATGTTAAAACTGAAAATAATTATTTCATCTTTTAGTTTGTTTTAAAACACAGAAAGGTTTTATTTACCTGCAACGTTTCGTTTGCGGCTGCAAACTTCGTCAGGCTGACGCTAATGGTGGCGTCACTTCCTACTCCGTTTATCCGTGGGCAGCGGAGGGCGACAACGTCCTCTGCTGCCCGCTCTCCCCTCTCCGATGATGCAGTCCCATGCGCGATCCAACGTATAAACTCCATCGTCCCTGTTCATGGTGCCGCATCCACCTCTCCTTATCTCGATTGTTCTTTTATCCATCTTTTGTATTTCTGTTGTTCGGTGCTTATGATCCTTGTGTTGTCCCAGTCCATTATATGGTTTTCAGTGATCTGTCACGGCTGATTTTTTATTGGGCTTTCTGCTTCTTCTTTTGCAGTTCTTGTGTCTTCAACTTGTTTCTCTCTCACACTCATTTCTACGTTCTATTGTTCGTGTGTTGAGTTGGCGTCCAGTTTCTCCCATGTATGTTTTATGCAGAGTTTGCATGGGATTTCGTAAACGACTCCAAATTTAAGAGCGGACAGCAGAGGGCGACAACGTCCTCTGCTGTCTGCGGATAAACGGAGAAGGAAGTGACCATCAGCGTCATCCTGACGAAGTTTGCAGCCGCGAACGAAACGGTGCAGGTAAATAAAACCTTTCTGTGTTTTATAAAGAACTAAAAGATGGAAATGGAATTTCAACACAGCAAGAACACACCAAAGATGTTTAAAGAAAAATACGGACAACAAGGGACAAAGGAATTCCGCCGCTTGGAACGATTACACCAGAAACGCGCACTTCTTAGGAACCACCTTCGCTTCAATTTAAGATGCCGGGACGAAAACATCACACCCACAAGCCTACAGCTGAAAACACTGACCCGGACCAAGACAGCACAGAACATAATGGAAAGAGCACAGAGAGCACTGCTCAAGGAAAGGATAAGAAACGTCATAACCAAACAGAAGCAAGTAGAAGACGAAATGGAAAGAAGACACCTGGACTTAAAAAGGAATTACAAACTTGATAAACAAACGGAGGAACTAATAAAAGGACCATGGTGGAAAAACAGGAAAAAGAGTTCATATAACTAAAAGAAAGAAACATAAAGAGGTTAAACAAACTAATCAACAAGAAAAAGAGGGAGGAAATACAAGATGACTCCACACAAAGCTCATGGGTGTGTAATATTTCACAATACGGACCAACAGAAGCAGAAGAAAGCACATTGAAAAATGGTTTAAACTTTGCAGTAACACCAAAGAAAATACCATATGATGAATTCATTGTATCACTGCTGTCATCTTGGCTAGTAGAAGCTAATGTTAGCATTAGCGACATAAATGAAAACTCCTTCCAGTTTGTTTTTTTTTGGGGGGGGGGGGGGGTAAAACATCAACGTTGCAGAACAGAGTCAGTGGCCGTGTTCGAGTTGAGCTGCGCCTCGCCTGGAAAACATATGAGAGCAGGTGGAAGCAGCAGGGGGAGTGGCTGAAAGCCGGCGTTAAGTCGGACACAATTTCCTGCATGTGTAGCTCGGGGGTGACGATGGCTGAAGATATCACGTTAGCGTTCACACTTGTTCAATTTTCTATTTTAATTCTGGTGCCTGTCAGCAGCTGAAACACATCCTCACGTGCTTGTGGATATCATATGTTGTATATGGAGACATGACTGTAATAATAAGTAAAGGTTATCAGCTGTAGCTTCAGTGTGCTCATAGGAAACGTGACAAAATAACACAAATCACATTTCTCTTTATGGCCTATATTGTTGTCATCATCATCGTAACATGATTTACAGAATACATGTGACCATCTAACATTTCATGTTCTATCACCGGATGTTTGGATCAAAATATGAACCAATCAGATCTTAGATCAGGTGAGAGCCAGGCGTTTCCCGTCATCCCCTAGGTTTTGCAGCCGAGGGAGAGCAACTGCAGCGCCTTGCTCCAAAATCTGCGGCCGCCTTGATCTCACGAGGTTATCGTTGCCTACGTATGCATGACGTCAGAGCAAGTCAGCGTCAAGTCGGACACAAATCTAACCGGCATGCACTGCTCGCCGATCGCCGCTGGTCTAATCTGTGCAGAACTGGCTCATATCGAACACAGCCAGTGGTAGAGTTGTATTGCTGTTAGCCAATCAGAGGAGAGATGTCCGTATATCAGGAAATGAGACTCCAAATCCTGCTGTCAGCTCACCTCTCATCGGGCTCATTTCTACTTCCTGAAACCGGAGCGCCAGAACCTTAATTCCAACACAGATCGACTCACAGGGCGTTCATTTATACTGAAGACTGCTGCAAATGTGTTCAAAAATAGTTCAAACATATAAGAAAGATGGCTAGTGGGACTTTATACGTAAACCTTAACCAACAAAAGCCTGGAAAATGTAATCCCTCTCTGCTCAGCGTCTTCTTTGCTGAAATCCTTACGATGCTACAACGACTACAAGTCCCACGTGGAGTGTGACTGGGAGAAGCAGGAAAACTCAGCAGCTCTGCAGGTCTGGATCCAGACAGAATCCACCAGGTACAGCAGGCATTTGGGGGGAAGGATGCAGATAAAGACAATTAGAGATTGAGTAATTGTATAAAATGCTCTACTTGACAGTTCAGTGCCTTTATTTTCCAGAGGGATGTGTGCTCCCACCGATGCTTCACATTCAGTTGGAGATGGGAGAGCCCGCTGCAGATATGACACCCAACTGTTCGCTGTTGCCATCAGTCATACGGTCTTCTTCCTGGACAATGAGACGAAGAGCCTCTGCTCTTTCAATCAGAACAAGTTCCAGGATCTGGTTCTTCACCGTGAGTGAAAGTATCAGCTTAAGAGGCTGGTGAGGTCTGATGAAACAGATATTAATGCTGTTTCTGCTGCTCAGTGAGAGCTCGCCCACCTGTGAATCTGTCCCGGTCTGAGGAAGGTGACGGAGGCTGGACGCTGCAGTGGTCCAGCCCGTATCCCCCCTCCTCCCTCGTGAACCTGACATACCAGCTGAGCTACAGGATGCAGACCCAGAACATCTGGACTGTAGGCTTCATTTCTACCAACGTTATAAAAAGAAGTTTCATGAGAAATGTTTGAAAACATGCCTCACTTTCCTCTGCCTGCAGACTGAGACCGTCACAAGCACCAGCGTGAAACTGGAAAGGCAAACGTTGCTTCCTGGCCACTTGTACGAAGCCAGGGTGAGAACCTGGGCCGGTTTGAGTCAGTGGAGCAAATGGAGTCCTGTGGTGACTTGGCTGACTAGAGAAGGTGAGTTAGGAAACGCGCAATGTTTGTGCTTTTTTACTCATCCCATGCTTTTTCCTTTCCCTCGTCTGCAGACTTGGTTCGGGCTCCCTCTCTGGACTGTGTGCTGGACGGGCTAAATCTAGTGACATGCAGCTGGGAGGTGAGCCCAGAGCTGGATCACCTCATCACCTACCAGCTGACCTGTCGACAAAATCACACGGCACGGTAAGTTAAGCCGACAGCATCTTCAGTTTTGCATCCAGTCGCTGATGTGATCAGCTTCTTTCAGGCGTGAGAGATGCTGCAGGAACCTGACTGTGAGTGCTGAGCCCGGTGGGACAGCTGTTAGCTACAGCTGCTCGATGACTGTCGCAGACCCACGACATCTGCAGCTAAACCTCCAGCCAGCACGCAATGCCAAGATCTTTAAAGCCCACCAAAACAGTGAGTAGAGACAAAGCAAGGGAGGGGACAGAGCGAGAGGGGAGGGGGCCTCTGAGTCTAAATAGAGAGAGTACATCTGGTGAAAAAAAAACATACGGGACGGCTGAGTGAACCACAGGAGGCTGCGCTGACAAACTGTGGTGTAATGAGTTCATCATGGCATATGATTAAGCAGCCCCCCCTAGTGTCCAATGATGCTACTGCATTGAAATGTGTTCCGTTTTAAAGTCTTCATCATAAGAGTTTAGTAAATGATGCTCTCTAGTTGCAGGTTTATCTCAGTTGGGTGTTGGTCATGCATAACTGGATCATTTACTGTTATTAATTTAGCATGTACCTATTTATCAAAAAATTGTTATAAATCATGTGTTATAACGTGATGGGTGTTTCATGATAGAAGTGGTTTTATAAGTCTAAAAGGTTTTGTGTGGATTTTAAATACTAGTTTTCTGAGTTTTAAATGTTGTTTTCATAGCTACTGGTTGATATCTTACCTGTTGTAGACGCCTCATTGGACAGCTTCTATTTAGGAAAAATCTTATAGGTTTTACCCTGTTGGGCAAAAAAGTTAAAAATCTATTTATAATTACAATAAAATATAATTATTATGGGTGGGACTCAATTAAAACTATAATTAAATTAATTAGAGGCTTTGTAATTAATTAATCTCAGTTAATCGCATATTAATCGTTCAAGAAAATTTGACCCAAAGCTATTTTTTTTAAATAATAAATAATAAGGCAGAGAATTAAACAATAGATATGAACATTATTATTATTAAACTCAAGCTCTTTTAAATAATTAATAAACATAAACAGAAGGGAGGAGTCAAAGGCCCCACCTGACATATACAGTCATACACAGACACAGTCACACACTCCCTCCCTCATGCTCTTTTAATTTCTAAAAAAAATGCTTGTAAATTGTATTTCAGTTCAAAACAGGGGGGAAAAGTCGTGTTTCCACTGCTGGAGTTCCAGGACATGAAGGGAAATATTGACCAGGAGATACATGATCACTTGGTCCTCTCAGCTGTTGCATCTCCATACTAAACCAGCCCTTTTAGGACTTTTCTGAGACGTCAGCATGTTGCGAGCGCCCCAGCAATGAGTGATGTCATTGATTAGAGCCAAAAGCGTTCACAGACATTAATGACATTAAAAGCTTTATTGTGTCTAAGTAGTAATTTAATCCATTCAGAGGAAATGTAAAAAGTTGTGTTCAATGACCAGCAGAAGCCATGAGACCACAAAGCGCCATGAATTATGACGTGGGGGGGGGGGGGGGGGGGGGGGGTACTCCCACTGTATTTTTTTTAGGAATGATCTGATCATGTGATCAGAAATCGAGCCGATCACGGGTTTTTGAAAGGATCAGAATTGGGAGACATTAATCGGATTTAACTTTTCATGACAACACGCACAACTTTTTAAATTCATCCCAGGGCTGCCAACTCTCACGCAAGGAGTGTTTGAACTGTGACAGCCGGTGTTTACACGCTTTCCGTCTCTAAAAAGAAACACGGGCCATAAGAATAAAGATAACCCATTATAGGCACTCCATTGGTTCCTTGAAATGATCTGGGAAAATGGTTATTTAGGGTCAGCCTGATGAAATAGACACAAACATGCAGCAAAGGTCTGGTGAAATTAGGCCTGGGTCTAGAAACCATTGTGAAAAGTGCGAGCCTCCATCTGTAGTTTGGGGTTTATGATCCCAAACCTTTTGTGGACAGTGTAAAGTCAATTTTAATGGATCTCAGTGGGGTGGCACCTTAGGTGGCCAATTATGGGCCATTCCCATCTGTACCGGGTCGGCCCGGGCCGGGTAGCCCCAGTCGGCCCCAGTCGGCCCCAGCCTGGCCCGGTTGATTCCACGCATCCTTGTCTTAAGCCCATGTGGGCTGATTCTACCCACCAATCAGAGGATTGCTCTAATGGAAGGTGTGAATTTGCTGTCAGCAGTGGGTGTGTTGGCCCTGGTCGGCCTGAGGCAGACCCCCTCGAGAAGAGGGCTGAGAATGAGCCTTGGTTGGCCCGGAAAAATACCAGGCCACCCAGATATGTAAACAACCTACGCTACCCGGCCCGGGCCGACCCGGTACAGATGGGAATGGCCCATTAGATTCTAAGGGTGGCTTGTGCTACTCCAAGCCACCCTCTGGACACGCCCCTGGTCTGTTGTTTTATCGTCACCATTTACTTGACGTTTGGTGTCATCTACACATGGAAACAGCAGCTTCTGCTAAACCTTGTTGCTGACACAAAGATGGAAAATGTTTACGGCTAATCTGTTGCTGCACAGTTCAGCCCAACCCGCCGCAGCAGGTGACGGTGAAAGAGGAAGACAGCAACTGGACGGTGGAGTGGACTGAACCGGATAAACCAAACGAACCAGTGAAGTTGTGCTATCAGGTCGTGTATTACAGGATGGATGATCAGGTAAGAAAATGAGCGAGTTTTGTATTTTGTTCCTTGGTTTAGCTTTGGGATGTCCCGATACAGCGATACCGATATTGCAGCCGTCAGTGTTGACCGATACCGATATCAATCCGATACGATATCAGCACAAATCATACAGACTTTTACCTGCATTGTAGTGTGGAATGTATGAAAGGCTTGATCAGGTGATATTTCTCAATCAGAGAACAAGAGCCAGTAACACTAATTACGAATAAAATGACAGATTTTTTAAACCATAAGTTGCAAAAGTGCTAACCTTAACGGACTGCTTATTTCGAAGATTTTTGATGCCGTCCGATATAATCCGATACAGTGTTTCTGGGCCGATATCGAGTTACTTCCGATGTCGTTATCAGAACAAGACATCCCTAGCTGCAAGATTTCAGAATAATAAAGTTCTGATTTAAAAGTAAATGAAATGCTGACCCAACACAGGTTATTACAGGCACGGACGCTGATCTGTGTTCTTCTCGTCATCAGAGCTCTTTAACCTGGCTGAACATTTCAGCCATCACCAGGTCTGTCACCGTCCTGGGATCGTCCCTCGTGCCTCTCCAGGACTATCAGGTCAAAGTGAGGTCACTAGTTGACCCAAAAAGCAACTCCTACAAAGGAATCCCTTCAAAATGGACGGAGCCAGTGAACTTCAGCCCAAGTGAAGGTGTTTACAGACCATCGCCATCGCCAGCGTGCACTGCATGCATGCGTGTGTGTGCTGTTTGGTTTTAGGCCACAACACAAAGTTATGCAGGTCAACGTAACTATATCCTGTTTCCTGACAGCTACCTCGTTGCTCTTTCATATCACCTACTTCTTCATTGGCGTGGTTGTGGCTGCAGTGTTCCTGACTGTATACTGCTTGGTTCCATCCTGTCAGAGGTACTCATTACATCAAACATCCTGATTCATGGTGACTCAAGTGCAACGTGAAAAAAGCTCCTTGTAGGTTTCGTCCACTTTTGCTCTTTGTCTCACATTACTGTTTTAGACAATCAAATAAACTTCAATATCAGACTAACAAAAGCGGGTAAATATAAAATCCAGTTTTCTAATCTAAAGGCCTGTTGAAGACCCAAAAAATGCACATAATAGCTAAAAGCAACACATCAAGGTGTGTTCTGAGGAGATTAGAGAACAAAGGAACCCAGAACAGCAGCTAAAGCTCTGCAGGCATCGCTTGGTTAATGTAAAGGTCACGACTCAGCTTCTGGTGAAAGCTAGCTTCTCTGCTGACTTTAAGTTTTAAAATGCAGGCTAGTGACAAAGACTGTAGGACACCTGGCATCCCTGTGTGTGTCCATCTGGTTTCAGAATAACTCCAACACATCGTATCAACAGACAAACATAGTGGCGGTGGTGTGATGGTCTGGGAATGCTTTGATTAGGTGGAGGAAATCCCTCTAAGGCACATGTCAGATACAAGGCCTGCAGACCATTTTTATGTGGCCCGTGAGATAAATATCAAAAATATATTAAAACTGACCCGCTGGCCAATTTTACCGCAAAGACTACAACTCCCATGATGCTTGCGCTTGAGACATTTTATCAACCTGAAAATAAGATGCTTGGATTGGATGAAATCCCACCTCCACCCATTTCATGATGTAACCCTTTGATCCCGGCACATCAAACAGCAGCTTTGGCGATACACACGGATATCAGCACACTATGGTAAAAGGCCTGTATTTGCAAAGCACCTTCTTAGGGTTCTACAACCCCCCAAGGCGCTTCACATCACAACTAGTCATTCACACATTCACACGCTGGTGAGGATGAGCTACGATGTAGTCACAGCTTCTCTGGGGTGCACTGACAGAGACGAGGCCTGCTGAACACAGGCGCCACCGGTCCCTCCGACCACCACCAGCAACTAAGGTGGGTTAAGTGTCTTGCCCAAAGACACAACAGCAGCATTCTCACCCACTCTGGTACTGGTGGAGGTTTAACTAGCAGTCTGTGAAAATCACATTCTGATTCGTTTCTGAGGGCTCCTGAAGATGAAATCCAGCCATCTGTGCAGATTAAGGTCTTCTACAGGAAGACTGGGCAGGGACCGTGTTCCCCTTGCAGACAAAAATCCATTTTTGGGTTCTAGGCATTATTTAAAGTTCAGATTAGATAAGAAAGAAATCACTTCTTCACAACTGTGGAGATAAATCACCCTCTCGTTGCTTGCTACTCAGAGAGAGCAGGGGTTAATGTTTACAGTCCAGGGGAGGAGCGTGCAGGTTTGGCATCACCTTAATGGAAAGGGGTAGAACGAACGACGCAGGCCTGTTCCATCTAGCCGTTTGTGATAGCCTGGCGGGCCAGCAGAGGATCTGTAGCTGAGACAGGAGGAAGCTAAAAACTGCTTTGAGGTGTTTTTTATATTAAAACCACTATTTAACATGGTCCAAAGCTCTAAAATGTGGATTTTAGAAGTTATAGGTCCCGTAAATGTGTCTTTTATTGTCTTTAATTAAAATGAAATGATCTCCCTGTTTATGCTGATGAATGGTCAGGAAACTGATGTTGTGGGTGGAATCAGTTCCTTCTCCGAGGAAAAGCAAGAGCCTGTCTGAGATCAAGGTGAGGCTGACTGACATGTTTGGAATGGTTCGTGACTTTAGAGTCTTTCATTTAACGATGCACTTCATTTTTTCATCATGCGTTGTTCTGATCCAGTCTGTCCCCTCCTCGACCCTGATGCAGAACGAGAAGACGTCCATTTGCAAAGTGTGGCGCCTGGACAGCTTATCCACATGGTAACATGTCTCTTAGTGGCGACAGCAATAATTCAAAGCTGTCTCTTTTGATGCGATGAATGAAAGGCAACGCTGACATAGCTAATGAGGAAAGACGTGTTTCGCTGTCTCCCCCTGCAGCAGCTCAGAGGTTTTACTGTGGGAATCTCAGGTCACCCAAACAAAATGTGTGGGTCCCAATTCCCGATCCTGGGGCTGTGGAAACCTGACGCCCCTGGTGGGGAAGGTTAACTGTTCTGACACACTGTCGATGAGCTTCATCTGTCAGGTCAGCCACTCCCTGATGCCGTGTCCAAAGCACTAAAACGGCTTTTCCTGAAAGAAATGTTCTGCATCTTTTAGGCTTTCGGCTTTAGCTGCAGAACAAATCTAGAACGAACAGAACATTCAGAGTTTAGCAGTCTTGTTTGGTGTAGAATAAAGCTGCAGCACATCATGTACGTACACTGACAGGGGTCTAGAGATGTGTTTAAGATTGTCTTTTATGACATATGTTCTGTGGCACAAATGTAAAAATTCACACATTTCATAGATTAAAAGGAATTTATAATCTGATGAATCAAAGTGAGTAATCATTGTCCCCGTCTCGATGGCAGGCGTCAGATTCTGGGTCCATGCTCAGGAACGCCCAACAAGAGGAAAAAGACTACGAACCTCCAACAGAGGAAGTCCCTCTGTCTCCCTTTCTGGGCTCGTCTCTTTATGGTAAAGATTACGTTTGCCTCCCAAGCCGTGTCATGTCCAGGTCCACACAGGAGCTCACAGCCCACAGCAAGTGTGGGGGTGCTGAGCAGAGCCAACGCCGCCCAGAAACCAAACCGAGGTCCGTTGGATTGGATGACCCATGCACCCCGAGGGATCCCGCTACCGGGAGTCATCCGTCAGCTCACACATCAGGATCCTTCTGCTCCTGGCCTCAAGCGGGCGCCAGTCAGACGTCAGATTACTGCCACCTCCCTGCAGCTAAATGACCAGAGGCTCAGGAACGACTCAGAACTGAATAAACTTTATTTCAAGCTGCTTTAAGCTCATCAAGCAAAGCTTCTAAAGACTGTGGGTCAGTGTCTGATTGGCTGCTGGTGCCCCATTACAGCGCTGGCACAAACACACAAGAGACACAAATTCATCCTTCTTCTCCCTGAATCTGAGGGACATATCAGATGGTTCGTGGCCGTGCACATCCCAACATCCATTGGGTTACGTACATACAATGATTGTTTTTGCCTGTAAAAGTCCTGAATCAACCAATGTTGAGTCGAGGTTCTTTGGGTAGGTATCCAGTAAACCTGCCCTGATGTCTGAAATCATGATAGCTACCATGTAGGTCTGGAGTTTAAGACAGTCCAAGTTAAACAAGATCTCGTTACATTCGGAGCACTTAAAACAAACGTGGAGCATCAGAGGACCAATTCATTGTTTTCTCACTGAAGACTTGTAGTGAAACCTGTTGTAAACTTGCCAGTTCCCACTCTGTTGTTTCGTTTATTTCATTCAATCAATCAAATAAAAGTTACATTAAAACAATTCATGTTCACAAATAATCATAAATGAAAAGGAGCAGAAAGAAACAAAATCTTACAATATCTGCCCCCTTTTCACATCAACATTAGCTGTTCAGCTCAAAGAATTTCGTTCATCTAACCCCCACCCCCACCCAAAACAAGTCAGTCAGCCTACTTAAGGTCTCATTACTTCATCACCATTTAGACTGTTTTATTTCGCTGTTGAGTCTATTTCATAAACAGACACCTTTAACTGAGATACATCTTTCCATTTTCGGAGTCTTGGTTTTTTTTAAAAATATCAGTTCCTTTTAGATTGTGTGCCGGCTTGTTCACATACATGAGAGACACGAGCGTTCCTTTTACTGATGTTTAATGCGGTCTTGCATCTTCTTAACCTTTACACCACATGAACACCGTAGAACTAATGAAAAAGCATAAATCATGTACAAATTAACAAGTTAGCTGCCTTAAGTTTGCTAACATGCAGAGTTTATAAATAAAGAATAAACATACCACTTTGGCCTGCTAGAAGACAAACCGGTAGACTTGAAAACACTTTACCTTCTTCTCAAATGTTCTAATTGGCACAAATTGTCCGTGCAATAAAATCTCCGAAGCTTCGAGAGACAGGAAGTGACGTCACAGCACTCTTAAACACACCTTATTAAAATAAACCAATTCAAAATTACTCAAATATCAAAAATTATTGATTCTGTGCACCTGTAAATGCTACGAAATGTATTGAAAACATGGAAAATAATACTTTAAATAAACATGTTGACTAAACTTTCTAGGGCATTAACAAAATCACAGTGCCATCTTGTGGTGAAACTTTGAACAAAAAAGTTGCTTAAACTGCATTTACAGATTGTAATTACTTTCTCTTTTTCCAAATTTCTTTTGCATATTTATTAGTAGACTTTCTTTTTTGTGTTTTTGTACATAAGTTTTAATAAATTATATTCTACTCGTTTGTCAAATTTCATTAGGTCTAGTTGTGAAAACATTGGATCAGTATGATCCCTGTATCCACTTCCACTAATAACTCTCACTGCTCTTTTCTGTAAAAGAAAAATTGAATGCATATATGTTTTGCAGGTACTTCCCCATACATCGGTTGTCTTTGCTGCCGTCATGTTCTGGGGCAAATGTCTAACCCAAGACATGCAGAATCAGGAGACGGACACAAATTGAAGGGAAAAAATAAATATTTTATTAAAACGAGGAACTAACGGCGCGCTGGAAGTCCAGCGGGTGAGGAAACAGGAAGCAGCGTCTAGAGGGGAGAGTAGCAGAGGTGGGTACTGGGATTTGTCGTCCAATTGAGGGAAAACTGACGGAGGGACTTATGGTTTGGGAAGATCAGAAGAGCTAGGGAGGGGTGAGCTGGGGTAATAATCCAGGTGATGAAGAGAGAGCAGTTGAGATGGTGAGAGGGGATGTATCCGAGCCGGTGTGGGGTTGGAGAGGGAGCGAGGTGCGGTGAGAGCGGGTCGGTCAAGCAGGTGGATGGTGAACCAGGAAGCGAGCCGCGAGATCCGTACAGAGTTGGGTGGAAGTCCTGAGGTGAAGCCAACTGAAGTGAGCGATCCAAACAAAATCCAAAAGTTAATCGAGGTTTACACAATTCACAAGAGTTCAAGATCTAGAGACGAGTTTTTCGAAGGGCTAGAGACTACCAGTCAGTAGTAATCTTCCGGCGTCGAGTCACGTCCACCATCCTCCTTATGAGCGGGCCCGCTGATAAGGAACAGCTGTCGCTCCCTCCCCTGAAACCAAACACTCAGAGATGGTGAGAATGAGAAGAATACTCACCCCGGCTCATGACAGCTGCTAGACTGTTCCTGCAATACTCTAGTCCTAAATTGCAATCTAGAACTAATATCTAGGTCTTCCAGATGTGTGAACTGTGGCTCTAATTTGAAGGAGCGATGTATGTTAGAATAAAGCATCTCAACTGCTTACCTGAAAGATGCTTCTTAGCGGTGTCAAACTTCACGCACAGTTCCTCAAATGTTATGAGGGTTCCATTTGAATAAAGATCCATTTGATCCTGTTTACTTCTCTATATTTTAAAGCCCCCATCTGAAGTGAATCGAGGATGATGGTGTTGTCCACAGATCCAAGGTGAGGGTGCCTTAATAACCCAGATGTTGTTGAGTCTTGCTCAGATGTGATGTCTCTGGACCATTGGCATCTTTTCTCATCAGCATCATCATCCATTTTAAACATGTGGTTCACTCAATTAGTGCATTTGCAGCGGACCCTGAGGGAAAAAGAGCACCGGTGCACCTGTTTCAGGAAGTGGAGGAATGCCACATCACACTTGAGCTTCAAACAGCAGGATATGAGGTCTGATTTCCTGATATTTGGATATTTTGCCTCTGATTGGATAACAGCAACAGGACTCTACCACTGGCACAATTTGCTTTGCAACTCTGATGTTTTACCTCCACAAATAACACAAGCCTGAAGGAGCTTTTGCAGTGTGGTGGAGTTGCTAATGCTAACAGTTAGCTTCTACTAGCCGAGACGTTCTTTGTTGTTTTCTGGATGCTAAACCAACAACAGCCTTCCCCGTCGTGAGAAAAGATGGGTGAGTCCGTGAAGATTAAGCGACAGTGTGGCGTAGATCTGCCAGGCTTTTCAAATGTCTCTCCACATAACTCTATTATCTATCAGAAGCAAATGCAGGACATAGATGTAGAAAAACTCGTAGTCACCAATTATAATCAGAAATAAAAATTAAAAAATGGTTTTGTAGTGAACCTCAGCCTTAAGGGTTGAATATGGAACACGAACCCTCTGGCGTCATCTAGTGGTTCGAGGTGGTAGCTGCAGCAACAGAAACAATTTTACAGCCATCGGGGGTGTTGGTTCACTTCTAACAAGTTACTGCCCAGCCAGCACTGTGTCCAGTGACAAATCGTACCATTTCTACTAATATGTTTATTTTACAACAATATTTACTGTTAGAACATCTTCGGGGCTCAGAATCAGCTGCTGGACTTGTCAAGTCCACCATTTTACACAGTCCCAGCCTCGCCTTGCCAAGCAGACTTTTTAGCACAACTGTGCCCTCTAGTAGCCGGTAGATGTAAACATAAACTCAGTGTCGTGCCCGGCTAAATTAAAATTTGATTAATTTATATATATATATATATAGCTTTTAAAGGAAAAACTGTACATTCATGTTGCAAACCTCTAAATGCCCAGTCGAGGTATTTATTTTTTTAATCATAGCTTTTTATTCAAATTTTTACCACAACCGTCGCAGTTGACCAAAGTCCATCCTTAATCAAACTGGGAGTCAGTGCAGGGTTTCCAGTACCGGAGTGATGTGGTTCCTTTTGCTTGTCTAAGTGGGTTAGGGTTACCTCACGGGGCCTTTAACGCTCCCTATCAAGTGTGTCCAGGAAAAGCCGCCTTTTGGAGGTCTAGATTGTTCTGTCACTTTGTCCTGACCATAAATCCAAGAGACTAAATCAGAACTCCACTAAATCCTCGGTCTAAACCTGTGAAATGGACAGAGAGGTAAACAGTAGTTCATGAATTTAGTTGTTCTGTTTCGACCAAATTCATTTCATTCCTTTGAAGATGAATTATACATGCAGCACACACACACACACACACACACACACACACACACACACACACACACACACACACACACACACACACACACACACACACACACACACATTTTCACAGTGACATCACATTTACTGGTGTGTTCATTCTCACATCTGTTCGGCCAGGGGGGTGTTGCCAGGCTTTGTCAGCTTCTGAAGCCAGGTGTGAGTGAATTACATGAACTGTGTGTCTGTGAAGCTGTTCTAAAGTGGGATAGCTGTGTTGAGAGACCACAATGCTGGAGTTCCAGGCTTCCTGAAGTCAACTTCCTGTGTTTGAGCTCACTGAACAGTACAACTTCCTGTCTGATGAAAAAGAAGAGCTCTTTGACAAAGACAGACCAGAACACCGTGCTCCCAAAGGTGTTCGGCCTTTTCTTTTCTTTTTTTTTTTTTGCCTTCATTGCAGTAGTGGACTGGTACGTATACCTCTACTGGAAATGGTCGGATTCCTACTCCTCTGATTCACACCAGAAGGGTATTGTGTCTTGGAGGAAACAGATTGTTTTGTTCAGCTGAAACTTAGAACTTTGCGTGTTTAAGGATTTGATTTAATCCGTTTGATGTTGTCATGGAGACGTCAGTGTACAGCATGTCCCCGGTGTTGGCCAGAGTTATAAAAACAGGAAAAACGAAGCAGGTGTAGGGCATACAAGGCATCACACAGATGCTCGTGTGGCCTCCTTCAATGGCCTCCTGCTTCCACACAACTGTACATCTGGGGAAACAGGCACACTTCAGCTTTGGCTAAGAGATGTCGCCCAGTGCAGCAAAGACAGTAAGGCTTCTGTTTCTTCCTTTGTTGTTCTGAACAGTGAAATCAACATTCTAGTGAGTGAATGTGTGCTTGACTGGCTGAATGATTGGCTGTGGTAGAAAGTGCTTTGGAGTCCTCTGACTTAGAAAGGCACCAGGGTGGGTTCATTTCATCATTTGGCGGGGGTGGGGGTGGGGTGGGGTGGGGTGGGGGGGCTAGAGCTTTGTGGATTGGTCGTTCGGAAAGACGTCCTATGAGTCCGGGATTCAATCCCAAGCTGGACGGCTTGTTTGTACCAGCTTGGTGGCCGAGTGGTATGAGTGTCCGCCCTGAGACTGGGAGATTGTGGGTTCAAATCCACAGTCGGGTCATACCAAAGACATTAAAAATGGGCCCCAATGCCTCCCGCTTAGATCGGGGGGGTTAAACCACGAAAAGGTTCCCGAGCACGGCCGTGTCTGCAGCTCACCACTCCACCAGCGGATGGGTCGAATGGGGAGAACAGATTTCACACACCAGTGTGACTTTACCTTTTAAAACGTATAGAGCAAAAACAGGAAGTGTTTTTCTCCCCAGAAGAAGCTACAATGATGTTCTGCTGAGCTGTGGTGGCCTCATGGAGGGGGCCATTGTCTAGCACACTGTTGCTAACCACTTAAACTTTCTCCCTCTCCTGATAATAACTTTTTGCTTTCCTTGACGTTGAATGTGCTACTGGTAGTTTACCCGTTTAACAATAGATTCACTAGGATAAATACAATAAAGTTTATCTCTCACCAAATAGAATATTTACTAAGACATCACAATGTAACCATAGACGCATTGCTTGGTGTGTGTGTGTGTGCGTGCGTGCGTGCGTGCGTGCGTGCATGCGTGCGTGCGTGCGTGCGTGCGTGTGTGTGTGTGTGTGTGTGTGTGTGTGTGTGTGTGTGTGTGTGTGTGTGTGTGTGTGTGTGTGTGTGCTCTGTCTTCTCGATCCCCAGCGAGTCGTGGAGGATGGCTGCTTATACTGAGCCAGGATCCTCTGGAGGTTTCTTCCTGTTAAAAGGGAGTTTTCCTCTCCACTGTCGCTATATGCTTGCTTAGTATAAGGATTGCTGTAAAGTCACTGACACTAGTCAGTGACTCGATGCAATTTGCTGGGTTCCTTATATAGGACACATTATTTCTGATTGGCTTAATGAACTGTGAATTGGAATGTTTATTATGTGAAGTGCCTTGAGACGGCTCTTGTCGTGATTTGGCGCTATATAAATAAAATTGAATTGAATTGAATTGAAACAGGAAGTGTGTGTTGGCTATCTCTAAATCTGAATCTCCTGGTAGCTAAATGTTGTCAGTGAATCTGAAGTTGGTTCTGAAGTGTTTTGTGAACCAAACTAATGTGTAACTGAAGCATCACCATGAGTCAAACCCACTGGTGTTGTTTCCACGCTGTTGTTTTGTCAGACAGGTTTAGTGCTGGTTTTTTTTTTCTATATATGACCATTACTAAACTATTCTTGTCAGTCAGTAGTTGAGACCCAACATCTTTTAGGCTCAGTGAGCCACGAAGGATCCCATTCCTTTTGTGTGTAGGTCACAGTCAACAAGCGACCACGCATGTCTTCTCTTTGTTCTTATTTGAGGTCTGCAGGGGACAGGAACCTGCACAAACGCCCACGAAAATACAGGCATCCCACCTTCATGCTGAATTTGTACAGGGCCTGCTGTTTGGAAGTCGAACGCCCGTGTGAGCTCGACAGTAGAACGGCTTTAAGGTGCTACATATGCGCAAGTGTGTGTGTGTGTGTGTGTGTTGGGGGGTTAAAAAACAAGGAAATGAATCAGTAATCTACATTTCTTGTTTTTACTGATCCTAGACCCACAATATTTATGTCAAATTGTCTTTAAATAATCCTTCCTTGTACGAATGCGTTTAGGCATCGCTGTGTCACCGGCTGCTGAGTGGGCTGTTTCTGCAGCCAAGAGTAGAGAGCGTGAAAAACAAACTTTCAGACGAGTGTGTGCCAGAGTTCACCCAGAGTTTCAACTTTCACTTTTTGCAAACTGGGCTAAATAAATTGTTGACTGATTTATTCCACAAACTAAGTTTTCTGTTAATGCTACCTGCCCTTTACTTGATAAGAATATATATATATATACATTTATATCTAAATAAATTAGATAGGAATGTTTGTGCAAAGGAAATAAACTGAAATCCGCTGCAGACGTGCATGCTGCTGCTTCCAGGTGTGAAGCGATGTTAGCAGATCATCTGATTCCAGAGTTACTGACAGGTGTCGACCCGACCACGTTCTCACAAACGTGTTCATGCTGAAGTGCACGACCCGTTCACAGTCCATCAAAGCTCAGATCAGAACTCGTCCGACAGCAGTGGATCCCAAACTTCTAACCCACAAAGGAACAAAGGGTCAAACACGTGACCCCACTTGTGAACAAGAGTTTGATTAAAACAGCAACAGCCTCAACTCATCGTATCAATTCATGACTTGTTTTAAATGTTTACTTTTAATTTTAGTAGAAACATGCATTTGTTATTTAATTTCAGTTTTAATTTGGTGTTATTTGATATTTCTAGTCAAATTTTACCTATTTTATTCCATTTCCCATTGATAGAGTGTAACTAAGTACAAGTACTTTGTTACTGTACTTAAGGACATTTTTTCTGTATTTGTACTTGACTTAAGTAATTTTCTCAACACCTACTTTTTTTACTTTTACTCCACTACATTATCTAAGAAGTATTTTGTCTGACACCCACCCCTCCCCCAGTCTGATAGAGAATGGCAGCACGCTCCCGGACTGCAGTTCTGAAGGTAATAGTACTTTAATTTGCCTTGAAACACTTTACTTTAGTACTTTTACCTAAAGGTCAACATTACTCATATTTGTAATACATTTGCAGTGGTCTCTAGTAAGAATGAATTCCTTGTGAGTCATACTCTGGGGAAAAAAAGCTCCGCTGTGCCAGTTTGGGACTTCAGCAAAAGTCTTTTTTTTCCTGCGCTACAAAACTCCACTGACTTTGTTTTCTCTGCAACGGTGATGTTTCAACTCCACGAGTAACACAAGCCTGGAGGAGTTTTGCTGTGTGGTGAAGTCACTAATGCTAACAGTTAGCATTCGCTGGCCGAGACGTTCTCTGCTGTTTCTGGGTCACTAATCCAACAAGTGCCTTTCCCGTGGTGAGTCAAAATGGGCGAGTTCATGAACGTTAAAGAGCAAATTGCAGGAAAAAATATTTTTCTAATTCAAATAATATGCTGTCCAAAAAATACAATTTCAAATGCTCATTGTGGATGTTTCATTGGCAGAATTTACTAATAAAAGTGGCCTTTCTCAGCAAAGCTTCTAAAATGGCTCTTTTTTCTAAATCTGAACCTCTGACGTAACCAAACGGAGTTAGAAGCTAGGCTGCCTGTCAGTGTGGAGAGGCTAGTTTTAGGGTAGAGGTCATGTTACCCAGTCAGTGTGTGTGTTTACTAGTGTTGGACTGTGTTCATGTTGATAAACTAGAGTGTGAAAGCTGTACCAACTCCAGCCTGTCTGGACATCGAGTCCACGGGTTTCCAGATAAGAGAAACAGCGCCTCTATCTCCGTGCCTGAGGGCGTATTGTGCAGCTGAGAAGACGGACTTCTGTAGCACACATCGACTGTCTCGCTCATGTCTGGGTCGGATCCAGCTCACAGAAGCCCGCATGAGCTCCAGAACCGGATGACGGGCGTCTCTCTCCCTCGCTCTAAGTGCTAAACTACGTTAGGTGAACGGATATTAACGAGTATGAGACCGCTGACAGATGCTCATTAGTATTAATATTATATTAACTTACCGATACTATTGTAACTGTCTGGAACACGATAGTAATCTGTACAATGTTGTGATGCTAGCACACGAGTTTAAGCTAACATGGTTGACTCACCTGCTATTCTCCTCACATCGCAGCACAATCTGTCTGCTTTGGCCGATGATTTCTCCCTCTGGTTTGTTTCTGCTCTCTGGGGCGAGCCGCAAACTCACAGCTTTATGGTTTTGGTCCATCAGAAGGAGAATTATAAACATTTAAAGTTTCCTTTGTGTCAGAGTCGATACTTTTCTCTGGATTAAGCTAACAGGACTCCCTCAGCTGACGTCACTTGGTTTGGCCAAAAAAACAACTTTCTCACAAAAATGACTCTAAAAGCCTAAATAATTTATGTATGTGTAAAAAAATGTTTAAAACGAGTTTCTATTGTTTTTCTCTAAACATTCATTCATGGAGTCTTTAACCTGCAATATGCTCTTTAAGTGACAGTGTGATGTCACACAGTCAGGCTTTTCTAATCCTACAGTTTCACCATCTATTTTTTATCAGAAGCTAATGCAGGAGACAGGTGTAGGAGACTATTTATGTTCAGCTTGCATGAAAAAACTCAGAGCGACTGATTATATTCAGAAATTATATTTTTAAATGTATTTTAAGGTCATTTTTTCGTCTTCCACCACAACAATCTGAAATTTTGCTTCGACCCAAACAGATTGAATCAAACATTCTAACAGATTACCAAAATTAGCCTGTTAGCATCTGCTGCAAGTTTTCTTTAAAAAGGAATAAAACACAAAGTCAGTTTTAAGCACTTTAGCTCCTTATATGAAAATAGCATTATCACAAACGTTCACTTTTTACATCCTCATTATAATAAATCAGACAATAAGTAACAGTTGTTAGGTTGTTTTTCAATAACTTAAGATGTTGGGCTGATTATAAACGAATGAACATAAAAACTGCATCAACAGTGTTTCTCCGAAAAAATTTTTTAGTTATTGCTAATTTAAATCTACAAAAGTCAAAAATAGATCATTCTGTTTTTTTTTTTAGTTACCCGGGAACTTTTCAGAACGGAAAAGGTAGAATTACAGAAAATAAAGACAACTACAGGAAGATGTGTCTCTATTAGAGGACAGATGGAGAACCGGTTTAACAGACATGAGACATTAGGTGCTGGTGAGGCACTCATCATCACACACACACACACACACACACACACACTCCTGACACTGCATGGTGCTGGGAGCTCGACGTCTTTGCGTTTGAAGCCCCCCCCCCCCCCCCCCCCCCAGCCACGATAAATCTCAGCAACATCCTGTTTGCAGTATTTGTACAGAAAGTTAATCCACAGTAATAATTCAGACAAATAAATAAGAAAGGTAGCAACACAGAAACGTCACTGACGTAAAAAGATCTTTTCACTCGCTCATCATCTCTGTACTATTCCAGTGTTTGAGTTAAACATTAGGAAATGTGGTTATTTGACTGAGCTCATCAGTGACATCACACATGGAACTTCTCTGTTGATTGTCTCAGATCGCGTCTTGTTTTTGTTTATTTTCAGGTTCGGATTGGACAGTGGTTCTCACAAAATCCGGTATTTCTACCATCGAACCCCACCAGGACGTGGTTCATGTCGTCACAAGTGCAGCTTCTGTCTGCTGATATCTAAACACGGATCCAGGAAGAAATCTGAAATTGCACGTTTTTCTCCACAGTTCAACAACAATGTCTTTTCCTTTCTGTTGCACGCTCTTCGTCTTTGGATTATCCCATCAGCTTTCATCAGAGATGGTCCTTCGTTCCCTTTTCCTTCCTGCTTGCGCTCCGTCCGGGAATGGTCACAGGCTGGGCAGACGGTCATTAGTAGTGTTACCAAGGAGATCTCAATGGACGAGCGGGTTACGGACAACAAGTAAATACTTCGTCTCTGGACTCCACCATGTCCTCCGTCTGTTCCTGAGAAAACAACATTTTAACCATTTCATACAAATTTCCATCCATTTTATTTACTGATTGAAAATAAATATGAGCCGTTTGCAGATTGTTGTCGCGCATTTACATGAGGTGGCACAGGAGTTAAAGAGCAAGTCACCCCCTACAAGAAACTTACTCCACTCCCACTTCATGTTTGAAAAATGCAACAAATGCTGTTGCCTGGCAGACCGAGAGGGCGGAGCAACTAACAAATACACACACACACACAGGCTCACAACGGCATTGTGACATCATAATGTACCAGTTTACATCATAGCATACCTCTTAGCCAATAGTGGTGGCAGATTGAAATTCAAATGCAGTGCAGAGTTTTTACCTGACAACGGCGCAACACTGACAGTTTTAGGCAGAATGTTTAAATTTCAACTAAGATGCACTAAAGTGCCAAATTATTGACTACACGTGTCTGCAGCACGATTAGACACTCGTTTATTTAGTTTATCAGCAAAAAAAAGTTGATTTGGGGGTGACTTGCTCTTTAAGTGCTCGCCCCGTAATCGGAAGGTTGCAGGTTCGAGCCTCGCTCAGTCTGTTGCTGTTGTTGTGTCCTTGAGCAAGACACTTAACCCACCTGGTGGTGGTCAGAGGGAACGGTGGCGCCGGTGTAGGGCAGCCCCAGGGCAGCTGTGGCTACAGTGTACCTCATCACCACCAGAGTATGAATGTGTGTGTGAATGACTGATTGTGTTGTAAAGCACCTTCGGGGGTTCCAGGGCTCTAGAAGGTGCTGTATCAAATACAGGCTATTTACATCAAACCCCCTCTAGCCTAGGACTCTAGAGCGACCGAAGGTTGTGCTCTGCAGGTCTGTCTGGCCACGATCCCTTGTGGCCTCAGCAGATTTCCCATTGGACCAAACAGTTTTGTGTCTGGCCAATCACAACTCTTTACATGTGTTGGGCGGGTCTAACGCTAGAGTTATGACAGAGAAAAACAACAAAGATGGTGCTCGTTTGAAAAGACTCTGGCATCCACTTTGAACAGTTTAGACTTTTGCTTTTCTCTGAGGCGTGAGCAGATAGAAGTGCTTCAGTAATTTACTTAGAAAAAGGATTTGCTTCTTCTTCAGTGGTATATGGCGGACCACCCCGCTAAATGACATCCCTACTTCCGTGGTCATGGCTGGAAACAAAGCCTCGCGTTCGTAAACGCCCACCTCCAGCCGGCCAACACAGCTCATCTATGTCAAGTTACAGCAGTAATCAAGGTAAAAGTGGGAGCGTTCATCCTAGTTTACAAGTCTGTTCCACAACGCAACGGCTGGTGGCGACATGCGTCCTTTTGGGTCGACGATCTGACCGTTAGCTGATTGCAACACACTTAGTAAACACGCTGGCGGCAGTGAAGCAGGATATGCAAAACGGTCACAAGAATGGACAACAGCAACACTGCAGCACAGCTGCTTGACGCTGTTACACGAGTTACATTGTGGCGTTGATATTATCAAAGGACCGCTTACATGATCGCTTCTGGAAGGGGAGCGTCCAGCTAGTCACAGCTCAGCTGTTCACGTGCTAAACACATTATCTACCCTGGGTGTTTCTCAATGTCAAGGCGCCGGGTCTTGCGAGGCGATGTCTTGCGAGGCCAGGTGCCTTGCTTACGAGGACACAGTCCTTCCTTGGTCAAAGAAAACGGTGAAATGGAACAGACTTGAATCAGGTGACCGCGGCTTCCACGGCGGTCAAGTAACGTCACGTGACACGGGAGACAACGTTATATTTTATATGTATTAGTTTCAATATGAATGCTTTTTAAATTGTGTATATGTTTATTAAATTAAAAATATAAGCGAGTTACTACCCACTAGCCACTGAAGCTGCAACTACTAAGCAACTAACCAACAACAGATAACTTCTTTGGTTCTAAAAAACATTTTAAATTAGTTGACTTACTTTTAAACTTGAAAATTGTCCCCGAAGTAGCTGCCGGCTTCTGATCCGTCGTCTTTTTGAAAATACTGCGGTGTATTGTGGGTAATTTTTGACCGAGGCTAGGCTACAAGACACCTCCCGTGTATCACCGCTTAGCTAGCTAAACGGCTAAGAAACGGAGAACACCCGCCTCGGTAGAACATGAACACTGGAACACGTCTTGGCGGCTCCCAATGACTTATCTCCAAGGCAACAGGGGCGGGGCCAAGACATCAAGGCGAGGTTTCTTGGCATTGAGAAACACACTGAGAAATACCCTCTAATTCAGTTTTCTGACGCTGCATGTAAATGCACTGACTTTTACTGATTTCCAACAAACATATAAAATTCCTGATAGGAAAAATCTCTGGAATACTGCTTTAAACCATCCAGAATCAGGATTAGTACCTTCATAACATTCCTGCCATTTCCAGTCCTATTCATGTCTACTGCCCCCTGCTGGGGGAGCTACAAGGGAAAAGGGCCAATCTTATTTCTTTATTACTGTTGTAGCAGGACTGGTTGGGTTGTGAACCAGGAAATTGGTTGGCCGATTTCCTATGGGGAGCTCGGCGTGGAACTGCTCCCTTCCTCTCTCCCCCGTTTGCATTTTCCCCGCTGCGAGGACTCCCGGTTCAACCAAACTTTGTGTGAGGTGGCGAGTGACCTGAAGTCCCCCTCGCAGCAGCAGAAATGCGAGCGAGGGGGAGGGAGAGAGGGAGCAGCGCCATGCCGCCGCCCATTCATACCGTGCTCCCCAAAGGCGACAGGTCAACCAATGGCTGATAAAACGGCTTTTAGTAGAACTTTCTCGGTAAAAGAAACATTAGAAATGATGCCGCTTCGGGCGAAGAGGGAAAAGCGGATGAAAACTAGGAAGTCTGAGACTCTGACAGCAAAGAGGAAGATGATCTCTTACCGAATCAGTCACCGAGAAAAAAAATGGAGAAACTTCTTTACAGGGATTACAATTTTATTTTCCTACACCGCGTTACAGATCCATAAGGAGTTAACTCGTAGCGCTCTGGAATGGCATCACCAGCCTGCATTTATTGGCCAGAACGCCATTCGTCAAGCTGACCGTTAATGGGAGTCCGTGTAGGATTCCTGAAGTTCTGGTGTTAAGTGTGCCTATTTGTAACTTTAACATTCACCTGGTCGCTCCAACTTTTTATTTCTTTTTTGTTTGTTTTTTACGTATTTTGGGCTCACCTGGTTTTGTTGGACTTCTACATGAGCATCGCTCTCATAGCTGCCTTGCTGATGCGTTTGCGATTCTTCCTCATCCTCCTCCTTGTCTGGTTCGGGCGAGCGGGAAGTCTGCGACCCGTCGAGGTCAGCGGCTGCCGTGTGGTAGGTGCAGATCTTGTCTCTGTGATAGAAAATGAAATATTTCATGAAAATCAAGAGCGGGGCTCTTCTTACTGCTTAAATGATCAACATTTCTTTCTTGCCTGGTGTCTGAGTTGACGTCTGCAGATGATGTTTCCCACGACGATGACTGTCTGCTTCTTTATCGTTCAGCCTCTCCTCCTCTTCCTGTTTCATTTTCTGTCGCAGAGCTTCCTTCTCTTGGTCCAGCCTCGTGTGGAGAAGCAGGAGCTCTTTCCGCTCTGCCTCGACTTTTTCCTCCTCGCTCGGTGGCATCCTCTCCACCTCTGGAGTCTCGTTTTCTCTCCTTCTCTCCTGCTCTTGAGGATCTGGATTTGGTTCTTTGGTAGGTCTGAACCTGCTACTTGCTCCCTCAATCAGAGGTTCTTCTCTCGGACCGAACACGGGGTAGTCAGAAACCTCCCTAGAGAGTCCGCTAGAAGAGCTGTTTGAGTGTTTGGACGTGTCCTCTTGCCGTAGGGGACTTTGTGTCTGTGTGTCTCTGGTTCTCGTAGTTCCTTCGGTGCTGTTCCAAAGCAGCATGTCCCCTTGTTCCCCCAACTTTCTCTTTACTTCCACACCAACGCGACCAACTGAGGGAAGGCTTTTGTCATCAGAGACCCCACCGTCCTTCTCCTGGTTCTCAGTCTGGTCTCCAGTCTGGTGAAGGAGCTTTGAGAAGTTGTGACCCCAGTGTGGCGCGAAGGGAACGCCCTCTTCATGCCGAGATGAGTCCTCCCCCGCCAGGCTGTATCCTTCTCCAGGTGGAGGGAAGGTGTCTCCTCTGGGGTTCCAGTACTGCTCCAGGAGGTCCTCCAGATGGGCCCTCTGGGTTTGCTTCAGCTCATCCAGCTGGTGGAGCTCGTCTTTGGAGTGAACCTTCACCTTCACGGGAAAAGGAAATCAAATTCAGCTCAGTCCTGTTAGGATTCCGGTCTGAAAACAAGACGCTAACCTATAAATGATCAATGTTTACTTACTGTGAGTCGCACCTGAAATGTGCAGCTCCTACATTTAAACACATGCCCCTGCCAGCCGTAACATTATGACCACTGTGTTGGATCCAATCAGGGGGCCAATTATGGCTTTTTTCAATGAGCAGCATCAGATTAGGCTCAATTAGAGGCTTTGTAATTAATTATTCTAAATTTATTGCATTTACATTTTTCTGGGTAATTTGCCCTCAAAGCATTTTTAAATTAAAAATAATGAGAGAGAATCAAATATTAGACATGGAAATTATTACTGTCAACTCAAGCTCTTCATTTATGAAAAAAAATACATTTTGATTATTCAAATGTCCCTGTGTGTTATGAAACAGGACACAAACCAGCTAAAGTGTATTACCTTCAAATAGAAAACACCTGCAGAGGGTTCCTGGGCCTTTAAACGGTCTCTGTCTAGTCGAAATACTGAAATAAATAGACTTTTGCACCATTTTCAAATTTTTCCAGTTTCACTTGTTTGTATAATTGGGTGTTTTTATTAGCTTTTCTGTCCCTCATAATGTAGTGAAAGCATACCTATAAATTAAAATCCTTAAAAATGAGACTAGAGCAGTCACAAATCTGATCGGGGACTTCAATTCACTAATTTTTAACACCAGAGAAAGTTACAGCGGGACTAAAGACATGATCAGGAACACAAACGCCTCCAGCTGGATGACTGGAGGATGATGGGAAGATAAAAGATCATAATGAGGGTGAACAGGTGAGCGGGCAGATTCACGGCTGCAGCAGCGGGTCGGGTGTGATCTCCAGCCGGATCAGCTGATGACCGCTTCAACACACCTTGCTCTCGCTGCTGAATTATAGTAATGCACGCGACGTTTAGACAGTCAGTCGTCTCAAAAAGATACAATAAACCGACAGAATTGTTTCTGTTACTTTAAGACACGTTTGTGACTGTTTACCAGAGGTGTGACCAAGTCACAAGTAAGTCACAAGGCTTTCCAGTCAAGTCTCGAGTCAAGTCCAAGTCGAGTCCAAAGTCAATGATGTGGAAATCTAAGTCAAGTCCACGTCCTTAACTTTGAAATTTCAAGTCATAATCAAGTCATCTGTCCAACTTCAGTTTAATGACAATGATGGTAAATAAATACCAGAAGTAAAACTTCTTAAAGCTTCATTTATTTGCTCAAACAAGCAGAAACTGAAACAGATTATGAAAAAAGTGCTGCTGCATTTAGCAGCAAGTCGAACCCAGATCGAAGAATGACTCATGGTTTTTGTCCATGTCGCACCACTTTTGTGCTAAAATATCAAACACGCTCAAATCATCGTCCAGTCAACAGATGCAAGTCGATTCAAGTCGCGAGTCATTGGCATTCAAGTCTGAGTCGTCAGAAGTCATTAAGAGAATGGCCGTGTTCGAGTTGAGCAGCGCCTCGCCTGGAAAACAGACGAGAGCAGACGGAGGCAGCAGGGGGAGGGGCTGAAAGCCGGCGTTTAAGTCGGACAGATTTCCCTGCATGTGTAGCTCGGGGGTGACGATGGCTGAAGATATTGCGTTAGCGTTCACACTTGTTCAATTTTCAATTTTAATTCTGGTGCCTGTCAGCAGCTGAAACACATCCTCACGTGCTTGTGCATATCGTATATTGTATATGGAGACCTGACTGTAATAATAAGTAAAAGTTATCAGCTGTAGGTTTAGTGTGTTTATAGGAAACGTGACAAAATAACACAAATCACATTTCTCTTTCTGGCCTATATTGTTGTCATCATCAACGTAACATGATTTACAGAATACATGTGACCAACTAACATTTCATGGTCTACCACAGGATGTTTGGATCAGAATATGAACCAATCAGATCTTAGATCAGGTGAGAGCCAGGCGTTTCCCGTCATCCTCTAGGTTTTGCAGCCGAGGGAGAGCAACTGCAGCGCCTTGCTCTCACGAGGTTATCGTTGCCTACGTATGGCCTGTATTTGATATAGCGCCTTCTAGAGTCATGGAGCCCCCCAAGGCGCTTTACAAAACAATCAGTCATTCACCCATTCACACACACATTCACACACTGGTGGGGATGAGCTACGATGTAGCCACAGCTGCCCTGGGGCGCACTGACAGAGGCGAGGCTGCCGAACACTGGCGCCACCGGTCCCTCCGACCACCACCAGCAGGCAGCGTGGGTTAAGTGTCTTGCCCAAGGACACAACGACAGCGACAGACTGAGTGGGGCTCGAACCTGCAACCTTCCGATTACTGGGTGAGCACTTGAATTTGTGCTTGAATTTGTGTGTGCATGACGTCAGAGCAAGTCGGCGTCAAGTCGGACACAAATCTAACCGGCATGCACTGCTCGCCGATCACCGCTGGTCTAATCTGCGCAGAACTGGCTCATCTCGAACACAGCCAATGGCTCGAGTCTGACTCACGTCCAAGTCATGTGACTTGAGTCCACACCTCTGCTGTTTACAGAGTAGTGAGGACACGGAGCGTTCTCCCAGCTGTCCGTCTGACTGCTTTCATAAACTAAGAGCAAAACGTCATCCTGTCTGGTGCTTCCAGCGATGCTCAAATGTTACGTGAATGTTAAAAATTTAGCTTACCTCGACTTTCGTACAGTTTCCAGTGCCTCCCGGCAGCAGGTCATTTGTTTCCCAAATGTCCATGTCACGGACTTTGTAGTGTTCAGAAAGTTTATTTTTATTTTTACAAGTTAAGAGAAGAGGCTGCTGTGTTTTCCCAAATACTGCAGCAGTCTAAGCAAGGCAATTCCTTCAATTTATTCCGTTTTAGAAGCCGTTAGCAGAGCACTGTGCACTGCCGTGTGCGTCAGTGATATTCGGTCTACCAGGAAATCAGTGACAAAGGTTCCGCCATGCTTGAGTTGCGTGAATTCTTTTTCAACGCGTCATTTTCTTCTAATTAATTACGTGTTAAAGTCCCACCCCCAGTTAAAACACATTCATGTCAAGTCCTGTGGGAAAGAAGATGTGAAAAATGTAGATGGAAGCCGCATCACAGAGCGCGTGGGTGTCACAACAGGAAAAGAAATACGGAGGTGAACTTTTTAATCTACGCCACCTGTCTGTTTTACCCTCATTCTGCCTTTTGACATGCCCAGACTTTTTATAAACACCAAATGAATGAGTGAGTTTAGCCCTCAGAAGGTAAAGGAGTGCATGGAAAAGTGTGCACGGAGTTCTTGTTTCTGCCTGTAACTGGTACCATTCTCACCACACTTTACTGTCAAAAGTAAAGCTGTTTGGGTTCACAACTATTAGCAAACGTTGTCGTTCCTCCTGGTTGTGGGTTCAAAGCAGATTTCATTTAAATAGGTCTGCTCATCGATAGTTATTCCTGACCTTTGACCTTTTCTAGAAATCAGATTAGCTCTTTGGAACGTCACATCTGAGAACCAACAGTAAAGTGTAGCGGTCATGATAATGGAAGCTGCCAACTTTTCCCAGAAAAACCTCACAGGGACCAAAAGTCCTTCCTTGTTTGGAGTAGACGGGGGGGTTTGTACCTGTCCCTGAGCAGGTCCTGGGCCAAGCGTCTGGTTTCGATGCGGGTGGCTGTGCTGTCTCCGGGAGGATTTCTTCTTGAGAGCCGGCAGCCTCGGAGCGGGCTGACATCTGCACTCCACGTGATCCACGACTGACACCACTGCTTTGGCATAAGTGGGCCTTTTGTTGACGTACTCAATCTTCATGACCTGGAGGGGGTGAGAAGGTGGTGGGATTTAGATGGAGGGTTCCTGAGTTAACACACACACACACACACACACACACACACACACACAGATATGAGTTTATTGGTGCAGACTCATTTACCTGCAGGTATCTGGTGTGTGTGACGATAGGAACACACTGCAGGCTCTTGGTGTTGCAGCAGCCTGAGCAGCGCTGCACTTCCACGCATGGCGGCCATAACAGGAAGTTAGCGTTGCTCCGATCCAGCATGGCTCTGGTGACCTCCACCACCTCTGTACGAACTTTACACAGAGCCTGCTGAGCAGGCTGAGCCTCTGAGGGATCAGACAGGAGAGCGTGGGTGTGACAGCAAGTGTTATGGGCTCAAAACACGGGAGGCGACATCACCTCTCCTCCATTCATTTTCAATGAGACATGCGCGACAAAGCGATAATCGCGGGTCTCCCTCCTACTAAGCAAAACGAGAAAAACGTGCGTGTGAAAATTTTCAACTTTTCATCGCTGTCGCTCGGACGAGGACCAATCAACGGAGGTTTCATTCACTGACCAATGAGCGGACAGGATGCTCCGTACACCTCCGAGCAAACATGGAGGAGAAGTTGATACTTGTTGTGATGGATTTCCCAGAACTGTACAATATTACTACCAAAAAATATGGAGATATTCACAAAAAGGCCGCTGCATGGGAAATTGTTGGTGCCACAATCAACGCATCACATCTACTGTTTTTTTAACTCTTAACGGCTTAAATAACCTTAATTCCCTCCAACCTGACACAGCCAATCAAAACAATGAAAAATTCGATTTCGCCATGGAACAGAACATGCCGACAGCTTTGCCACTGGCTGCTGCCGCGGGTCACCTCCCGTGTGTCAGGTATTAAAAGCGACAGCGACAAATTTCGCTGATCGCGGTCGTTTGTCACCTCCCGTGTATCGAGCCCATTAGGCTCTAAGCCATAGGTCAGATCTTTCAAACTAACTTTTGGGTACATAACACTCAGAAGTTCTTTTAAACTGTATAAATTACATTCATGCATCACGTAAAAAATCCAGAAGTGTTGGTGTAACACAGAATAAAGTCACATTTTGATGGAATGCATCAACTCACGGAGGCTTCGGGGAAGTCTGTGACCTTCACTGGCTGCAGAAGTTCTGTCCTCCTCATCTGAGAGAAAAACACAAACAGCATATGTAAACAAATCAATCAGGAGCTGTTTGCTTATGAGTGTCGTACACTGGGTATGATGGTGTACTGGTGCTCTCTGCACTTACAGAGACAAAACATGAACTTCCGTCTTTCATAGGAAATGTCTGAACAGTGGAGAACAATGACAAAACCAGGGAAAAGTTGAATTTTAACCCTGATGTATTCCTGAGATCAAATGAAAGGGCGTGATTAAATCTGGGTGTGTGGATATTAAAAATCTCAGTTCTTTACCTACGGAGTCAGAGAGCAGCAGCAGCTGGAGGTCCTCGATGGAGGAGATGGGGCTATTCCTAACCAGCTCTACCAGGGCTGCAGGCAGAGCATCCTCCTGAAACACACGTGCTTCATCAAAAACAGCTCCAACATAAATCACCCTTCATCTTTTATGGTTATGCAGTGACTTGTGGTTACGGTGGGGCATCACTAACATTATTCTTAATGTAAAAACTTGCTTGCGCACAAATTGTCTGGAATGATTAAAATGTGATTAATTGAGATTAATTAATTACAAAGCCTCTGATTACTTAGATAATTTTTTACCTACAGTTTTTACTTGAGTTCTTTAAATTAGATTTATTTTTTTCACACAAGCTGGGTCGACCCAGGACACGTTGGAAAAAGTATATCTCCAAACTGGCCCAGGAACACCTTGAGGTCCTACCCAAGGAGCTGGTGGAGGTGGCCGGGGAGAGGACGGTCTGGAACTCCCTAGTTGGAATGCTGCCCCCGCGACCCGGAAGCGGAAGAAGACTAGACGAGACAAGCTCGCCATAGGTTTTAACAACTGTGGTCATAGGATAAAATTCCTACAGTGAATTAATGTTTAAAGGGCTAAACTAAGTGTAGACCAATGTAACAGAAAACAGAGGTCAGGTAAGGGGTAACAACAGCTTTTGAGACTGAGATGTATTTTCTGAATATGTAAATTCATACATTTGGGAGTTAAAAAGTCAAATTTTAAAGTTTTGTCTCAAATATACCAGAAAAAACACATGTTTCATGTTTATTGTGATTACTGAATCATATGGTGTGAGAGAAATAAAGTTACCTGAGAAGTAAAATAAATAAATACATCTGGCTCATCACCAAAGTATATATACGAGTATTCTGATTAATACTGAAATTTAGCTTTTTTAACAAATTTATAAATTAAAATTGTGGAAAATATGTATAATTTTTTCTCATAAATGTGTGTTTTTATTAGGGGTGGGAATTTAAAGCATTAATTACGATTGATTAATTAATTAGACAAAAAATAACTCATTAATAATTTACCCCTTTGAGCATGAGCCCCCACAATTAGGGTCCAGAAAAGTTTAGCATCCCAATTTATGACTTATCAATAAATATCATCAAGCTGCACCTCTAACAAACCTTCAGAGTCTGCACTAGCAAACTATATAAAGCTTTTATTCATGCTTCAAACACAATAAAATGAATCAGTGGGTCATGAAGAAAAGGAAGAAAGAAAAAAATCTACTTTTTTACTTTTCTAGTTGGTAGAACGAAGGCAGTAACTTTATCCATATGAACTGGATTACAGCAGGAGGGACAAGCAAACACGCAGCAGAACTTCCCTTGAACTCTACACTACACCTCTACATTTATATACAGTATATACATATGTCAGTGCTCTGCTGCTGCCTAGTGTTCAGTTAGATGCACAGCATTTACAAGGTTTCATGTCCAGCTACACTTCATCAGTAACACATTTACTAATATTTCCACATCCCAACAAATCCCAAATTGGTTACATTTATATTGAGACCTTATGGTAACAGAAATATACTCATTAACATGTGGGTGTGTCATCTGTGCCACACTAACATTATTTTTGATTAACTAAATCACTTAGGCACAAATTGTCTTGAATGATTAAAATGCAATTAATCAAGATTAATTAATTACAAAGCCTCTGATTATTTAGATTAATTTTAATCACCCAATGTTACTCATGTTTTTAATGGAAAATTAGATTTTATTTTCAACACAAACTTACCATAGATTTTAAATGATGTGGTCATAGGATACAATTCTTACAGTGAATTTGTTTTTAAATGGCTAAACTAAGTTTGGTGCAATGTAACCAAAAACACTTGTATCTTCTCTTCAACTCACTATTGAAGTTGAATAACTGTTGGGACTTGTTGTGAGCAGACTGGCTTTTTGGAGGATTTGTGTAAAACATTTGTGATATTTTCTTTAACAGTCACAGGCTGCATGGTGGTAGCAATGTTGTCTCACAGCGAGAAGGTTGCAGGTGAAAATCTGAAGTCATTCTGCACAGAGTTGTCACATAGGCGGGGGGTTTCTCCAGGTGCTTCGGTTTCCTCCAAGCTTGGTAAACCATCCTAAATACGTAAATAGTCTGGCTATGACCCGTGGACACGGCTCAGTCATGGGGCGAATCTACGATATTCTATTCAGATTGTCGCTGCACGGACCAACAAGAGCCACGTGGCGTATTCATCACTACAGAAATCAGTCAACGAGGCAGTCAAGAAAAAAGTACTTCTATCTGTACACGTCTCAAAGAAAAGCCCAAGTCTAAAACTGTTTTAAATGAGGGCCATCTTTGTTTTGTCCCTAGATGTGAAAGGTTGTGTGTCTTTGTGGGTTCCTGTGATGGACCGGAGATCTGTCCAGGGTGTCCCCCACCTCTCGCACGATGTCTGCTGAAGATGGACACCAGCTCCCCGCAACCCTAGCAAGGAATAAGTGGTTAAGCTTATGAGTGAGCACGAGTTACTCCCCACTATCGAGCTGAAAACCAAGCAACAGCTGTAGGTTGTGATTGCAGAGCGGACTGTGGGTTTAACCCCCTCTGGTCATTAATGGAAGAGAGATGGCAGGAGAGGGCAGACACACAATGGTCACTAAGAGCAGCATGAATGACTATTGGCGTTGTGTCCTCTCATCTGCTAACATTTAGGGGTCAAAGGAGCAGGGAAGGAGTCAGGAAGTGGGGGAAGGAGTGATGCAGAGAGGAGGAGAGAAAAAGAATAATGGATGAATAAAAGAGGCTGAGATGGATCAGACGTGGGTCGAGGATCTTCCTAAGTCCGCTTCAAACGCCACAGATCAGCTTCACCTGCTTTGTTAAGTTCACAGAAAGAGGAAAAGTTCTTTCTAGAAAGATGTGGAAGATTAATTTTAGTGAATCCAGTTCAGTGAAGCAAACAGCTCGAGTATGCATGAATCTCCCCGACTTTTCCCAGAGACAAACCATCCAGCAGGGAGATGCCTCCACAGAGCATGAGCCCCCCCACCCCCACCCCCACCCCCCGCGCTGCCGACGGAGCGAGCCGGCCCGCTCGCCTAATTGTATCTGATGTTAATTATAGGGTGTGTGTGTCTCTGTTAGTACTGGTGCCGGCTGTCACGGCAATTTGTGTCTGAGCCGGAAATACGAAGCAAACGCTTCAGAGTGGGCGGCAGAGACTGTAAACACACATTAATAAAGGTAAATCAGCTGCACACACACACAGTTAGGAGCGTTTCTGTGTAAAAGCATAAAAACACGACCAGCTCACCTTTTAAACACTCTCAATCGGGAAAAATAGTTTACATCTGGCATGAATGAAGAGCTAACGGCTAGTAGAATAAGAAGAAGAAGAAGAAAAGATCTTTTCTATAGCGCCTCTCAAGGTAAAAATCACGAGGCGCTTCAAGTATGTATAGTATGTAGTAGTGTGAATAAAGCCGTCTGAAAACCACTAAATGTCAGCGGTACATGAGATTTTTAATAAACACTGAGGGGTCTAGCAGACTAAAGGCTTAAACTTTGCTGCATCAAGCATGCCATAGAAATGAACGGGTTAGGAAAAGACTGAAGCCGACACTGAGCTGTACTGGTGCAGCGTCTGCGTCGACGCAACATGGCTTCCATACTTATGCTATCGTAACTCGAAGCTCGTTTGCACAATCACTGTCATTCAAACAGCTTCCAAAAGCCGAGGTGCTGCACTTTCCAGTGGTATGTTGTACTTTACATTTGCATGTAATAAAATTAGTAAAGATTCATGCGTGTTTTAGAGCACTTTAGCCCCATTTGTTCTGTTTTTTATCTTCAGCTTATCCCACGGAGGTTTTTAGTCGTATGTTAGATTTATGTTATATTTTGTAAATAATTGTAGGATTACCACTCAGAAAGGTAAAGGTGCAACTCTATGCAACCAAATCACTTCCTGTTTCTGCAAGCAGTGCAACATTGGACCGTGTCTGCAGATGGTCAGCAGTAAGAGGGTTAAAGTTTTTTTGGGTGAAATATTAAAACATTTCTGACAAACTTGACTGAAAGTGTTAAATTTTATTTCTGCGTCGGAAATTTACACTCGTAAACAAACCATGTTACTAAAAAAAGCTGGTTTAAAATGTTACTGAAACTTTCTCAATCTAGCTGTTAGCTTATCAGTCCTGAAGCCTGTAAAAGCTATTTCTCCAAACTGAGGCTGTTCAGGAAGAGCTCTCTAACGGGTAAATATTTAGAACTTTTATGCAGGAATGAAAAACCCTGATTTGTAGTTTGTATTTTGGAGCGCCACGTTAAAAGACGGGACATTCATATTTGCAGAAAAATACTTTTCATATCAGCCAGGCTTATAAAACTAATCTGTTCATTGCATTTCTTGAGAAATTAAATCCAAGTCTGCCTAAATGAGATTTTGGCAGGTTTGAGGCGCACAAGAATCAAAATCAGTCAGGTGCATCTAAGTCAGTCTAGGTCGATCTGAAGTAACAACCTGGATGCCTTCATCCTAGTTTACAAGAACGTTGGGAAACCGAACCCTCAAACAAACTTCCCTCCGGTACAGTAGGTGGCATTCCTCAGTTTAGCTTATGGCAACACAAATAGTAAACAAACGTGAAGCAGAGGAAGACGCTTACTGTATGGTTGGTGTTACTCATGTTACTTTCTATCGACGATGTTATCAGATGGCGGCGGTCTCGCCACTTCTGGAGGTAACTGTTGTCAGCTCGACTGAGATGCAGATGCAGCCGGACTCCTACCGCCTTATCTGGGTGCTTCGGCTCGATTAGATCCCGCTCGCCTTCAGCAAGATTAATGATTAATTGATTAATCAGTCCATTTAGAGCAACAGTTTTGTTTTCTGATGGGCGTGTAACCGCACTGGGCGTCGGCTCTCAGAACCAGAATCGATGCATTTTAAACCAAAGCTGTTTGCTGATTACCGTCTTCTCCTCAAAAAGACCCAGAGGAGACAATCTGCATGATAATTTAATGATAATTTAAATTAGAACAAATCTACATGACGTGTCACGCTAATGCACACTCCATGTGCAGGTCAGGATGTGCTGGGATTGTCA